ACGAAAGTGAGATGAACCCTGCTTACAAACATATTCTGTATTTCAAATAAGAACAAATGGATAAAAAGTGGAGCATCGGAATGAGGAATGAAATGAATAAGTGGGCCTCTGTTTTTAATCTTTCAAGATTATTTTCTTTCAGGAAGTGTTCCGGAGGATTGGAGGAAGGCAGATGTGGTTCCTATATTCAAAAAGGGTTCAAAATCCTTGCCTGAAAATTATAGACCTGTGAGCTTAACTTCTGTGGCTGGGAAAATATTTAAAGGTTATAAAGGGATAATATTCAAGAATTCCTTGAGAAGAACATGGTTATCAGCAAAAATCAGCACGGTTTTGGAAGCACAGGTCATGTCAAACTAACTTGATTGCGTTCTATGAAGAAGTAAGTAGAAGTATAGATCAGGGTGTTGCAGTGGATGTGATCTATTTGGATTTTGCCAAGGAATTTGATACAGTTCCACACAATAGATTAGTGTTCAAACTCAAGGAAATCGGTCTAGATGAAAATGCTTGTTCTTGGGTAGAACATTGGCTTAAAAACAGAGTACAGAGAGTTGTCATTAATGGTAAATTTTCAAGCTGGACAGAGGTGGCAAGTGGTGTCCCTCAGGGGTCTGTTCTGGGACCCCTTCTATTTAACATGTTTATAAATGATCTTGAAGACATGTTTCAGTGTTTGCAGATGACACAAAACTCTGTAAAATAATACAATGTGAGCAAGATATTACTTTGCTGCAGAGGGATTTAGATAGACTGGGGGATTGGGCACTCAAATGGCAGATAAAATTTAATGTTGAAAAATGCAAAGTTATGCACTTCGGCGTAAAGAATACACAAGCAACGTATACACTTAATGGAAGGGAATTAGGGATAACAATACATGAAAAGGACTTGGGAATTGTTATAGACAACAAACTATGCAACAATGTGCAATGCCAATCCGCAGTGGCCAAGGCAAGTAAGGTATTGTCATGCATGAAAAAGGGCATTCATTCTCGGGACGAGAATATCATTTTGCCTCTATAAATCACTGGTAAGTCCACACATTGAATATGCTGTGCAATTTTTGGCACCAGTTCTAAAGAAGGATATTATGGCACTGAAAAAGTGCAGAGGCAGGCTACAAAATTAATAAAAGGAATGGAACATATCAGCTATGAAGAAAGGTTAACAAATTTAAACCTATTTAGTATAGAAAAACGTCACCTGAGAGGGGATATGATAACATTTTACAAATATATTCGGGACCAATACAAACCATTGTGTGGAAATCTATTCACAAACCAGACTTTACATAGGACACAAGGTCATGCGTTTAGACTGGAAGAAAGAAGATTTCGTCTAAGGTAAAAGAAAGGTTTTTTTACTGTAAGAACAATAAGGATGTGGAATTCTCTGCCTGAAGAAGTGGTTTTATCAGAGTCCATACAGATGTTCAAACAGCTACTAGATGCATACTTGCAAAAAACAGAATATTCAAGGATATAATCTTTCAATGTAGGGTAATAACTGCTTGATCCAAGGATAAATCTGACTGCCATTCTGGGGTCAAGAAGGAATTTTTTTCCTAGCTTGTTGCAAAATTGGAAGTGCTTCAAACTGGGTTTTTTGCCTTCTTTTGGTTCAACAGCAAAAAACAAATGTGAGGAAGGCTGATGGATGCAAGTCTCTTTTCAGCTATGTAACTATGTAACTATGTAAAGGAACACTCTAAGCACCATAACAAGTATGGTGTGCTTTAGTGGTTACTGTGCGATGAGGGATTTAGTGCCCCCTAGTGTAAGTAGTCAAACTTGCTAACAGTTTGACAACTTATCTGGGCTTGACTGGGCACCAGTCACTTCCTCATTGAGAACCAGAAGCTCATACATGGAGATTCCATTGGCTCTTCTGTGCCAACCCCTGCTGTGCTGGTCCAGCTCATGGTGAGAGGACCAGGCTAGTTTTGACAGAGAGTTTCCCGCAATGGAGTAGGTTACTGGCACCCAGTGGACCCCAGATAAGTCATTAAACCTTTAGAAAACAATTGACTACTTTGGGAGTGCCAGGTTACTGCTGGCACCATAACTACTAAAGTGCACTGCAGTGGCTATGTTGCTTGGAATGATCCTTTAAGACCTCAAGAACGTTGAAAACAAGCTCATTGAAGAATAACCCTGTAGACAAACAAGTCCTTGCAAAGTACTGGAAACAACCTAGCTTACAGTAACACAATTCTCACCTTTCTCATAACATTTGGATGTCATGGTCACTATACCTAAACTGTACCTAGAACACCAACATCCACCTGCTGCCAGTGCCTTGTATTGCCTTTTATTATGGCGTTCTCCTCCCCGTCTTGTCAGTTGCTCCACCTTATTCTCTCTGTCTCTTATGTTGTAATTTTACATAATTATACCTATGCCATCTGTTAATGTTATTTGGTTCACTGCTATTGAAATATATATACATATACATATCCTGCTGAACAATCTTAAACTATTTTTATAGGAAGTGCTTAATGCTCATTGTTTAATGTAAACTGTTTTTCAGAGAATATCTATAATCTTTCAGCAAGAGTACTCCAGACATAGTAACACCATTGTGGAAATAAATTCCTTCT